TGGCAAGACGCCCGTAAAAGATCGGCAGACGCTTGTCGACCAGTTCAATAATGACCCAGACTTACATGTCTTCCTTCTAACCACCAAAGTGGGCGGTCTCGGCACTAACCTGACGGGAGCTAACCGGGTCATCATCTTCGACCCCGACTGGAACCCATCAACAGATGTCCAGGCCAGGGAACGTGCCTGGCGGTTGGGACAGAAGAAGGAAGTCACTATATACCGGCTTATGACAGCTGGAACCATCGAAGAGAAGATATATCACCGCCAGATATTCAAGCAGTTCCTGTCCAACAAGGTATTGAAGGACCCGAAGCAGCAGACTTCGTTTAACCTAAACGACCTTCATGACCTGTTCAGTCTGAGCTCGTATGAGGACGGGAAGACTGAGACGGCAGAGCTGTTTAAGGGCAGTGAAGTCAAACGCCTACCTTCGGGGCCCAAAGAGATAGTCTTGCCCGGTAACGACGTGCCAGTTCTCAGGGCCCCTGGAGTCAGCAAATTGGTGGAAATCAAGGACGAACCCACAAGCGAGGACGAGACAGGCGACCTCCGTCATATTGAAGGAGTCGCAGGATTGGAAAGATTCAAGGACGATGGCCCGGCGCCTGCACCAAACGAGGAGGACCGTCTGATGGAGGGTATCTTTGCACGTTCCGTCCATAGTGCCCTTGAGCATGATGAGATTATGAACGGCAAAAAGCCAACGGTCAAGGCAGACCGCAGAATTCTCCAGGCAGAGGCAGACCGGGTTGCTGCTCAAGCAGCCTTGGCTCTCCGCCGTGCGGGTGAGGAAGCCAGAAACGTGCCCATCGGCACGGTCACTTGGACGGGCGAGTACGGCGAAGCTGGTCGTCCGGCGCCCCGTCGCGAACGCGGAGGTCCCAGCTCAGCAGGCGTCCGCGGTGCAGCAGGCGGTGCAGGCCCGTCGAGAGCGTCGAGACCGGCGACACCGTCTGATAATAGGAACCTGAGGGCAGAGGACTTTGAAAGAATGATTCCGGCGTTCATCAAACGACATGGCGGCAGGGTCCCATCAAAGTCGCTCGTTGATCGCTTTAATCACTATTGCACGGGAGCGAGACAGGCGGATATGTTCAAGGTTGCTTTGGAGAAGGTGGCCAAGTTGGAGAAGAAGGGATCGAGTATGCGGGGCATTTGGACGGTTCGTCCGGAGTATCAGTGATGGTCTTCGGACAATGCACGGATGAGGTTCACATTGGGCAGCTAGAGATACAGGGGCGGTTTTGGTCTTGAACTTGTCAAGACGGATTGGGGTCTTTAACTACAACAATGGATATGTAACATCATTTAGATGGTGGTCTCTGGGAGTTTATGGAGAATACCAACGGGGTACTTGGGGGTTAGCGATGGCTTGGGTAGACCCTTTTACCAACTCCCTCTCATAAAAGAGGGGGAAATTTTTGTGTGGGATAAACTTTTAGTCTGGGACAGGGCCCGGTTAGTACCATGCAGAATCGGCTATTAACGCTGCGTAAAACTACTCATTTGCATCGTAAAATCGGAAAACATTCCACACCGCAATACACACCTAATACTCGTAAATCTCGTCATAAAGCTATAAAACAGTAAACAGTCTATATATCTATAGATTAATAGAGAGGAGTTATTAATTTAACTGTTTAATGCGTATAGTACTCGTAAATTTCGATAAGTACTTCGAGGAGCTAGGAGAAGCGCCCGCTGGGTATAGAGGCGCCTATATAGATCTATATCTTGATACCTGCAAACGTCTAAAAGGCCTCAGAGCCAAATAATGTAAGCCGCTAACTATCCGAGAGATTGCTAAGATTATTAGCGAGTTCCGTACGTTAATATTTTATTATATTAAATTGCTAATCGAGTATAATAAATTAACTATATTGTTGCGCCCTATAGGGAAGCCCCATATATTAATACCCTCTAAAGAGGATACTATTATATTATATATATTGTTCTACTTCCAGAGAAGGTTTCCCGTATTATACTAAATAGTTATCGCGGCCGCGAATCGATTACGCGCGTTGCAAGGAGCTTTAAAAACTTATAATGCGATTAGTTAGCGAGCTTCCTTAAAGACTATTTAGAGCTAAAAATTACAATTTACTAGGTAATTAATATTAAGAGGAGGTTTTAGGAGTTGAATGAGGATTCTGTTAATGAGTAGTTTAATAATTATAAGGCTATATTCAAAAAGTATAATGTTAATGGCGGTAATATTTGGAATTGTAACGAAATAGGTATAAGATTCGGTTGCGTAGCGGGCGGGCGCGTAAGGGTAATTATATTGAGAGAGTTAGCGAGGTATAAGGTAGGTTAGTGCTAGTTAGTTTATATAGGGAAAAATATTAATTAACCTTTTTATAGCCCAAAATTAACGATATTGCTAATCAAGAGTTGGCTACCCTAATAGTTAGAATAAATATAACTTGTAAGACTATCCCTATCTATATAATTTTCAAAATGGACCTAATAGAGGATTTCATTGCTAATAACCTTAATAACTCTATACAATTCGCTAGATTACCGATTAATTTCTCGAATACCGACCTTATTCTTGATTAATTGAAGCACTTCAATTAGTATTCCTTCTACTCGCCCCCCACTTTTACGAAATTAAAAGAGGAAGATAGCAATAAATTAAATAATAAGGGGTTCTCCTTTTAGGATCAGTTCGGGTATAATTTATATAGAATTAATTACATTAATAAGAAGTTCGAAAACTTTAGTAACGGTATTAGTTTAAAAAAATTATATAAATTAGGCTACTGTCTATTAATTATTAACGGATTTAGTAATTACTATAATATAGGGGTTAAATAATACGCTAATACTCTTAATATTATTCTAATAACTTTACCTCCTGATTTAGTATATATAATACAACTCCTCGATATTATTATATTCATATCCTTTAAAGCTTACTATTAAAAGGTATTAAAGTAATTTATTTAGTAGGGCGAATTCAACTTCATTCGCACTATATTTATTAAAGAATTTAAAATTAGCCTCGTCCCTATACTATTATCTCGTCCCTTTATTAACTATATTATCCTTAACCTTTTAATGTATCTTCGATAGTAATATAATTATATATAATATTTTTAACGGGTTTTCTAATATTAGGACGTGGCCAGTTAACTGTATGCGAGTCCTACTGTAAATCTAAATAAAGTAGCCTAAGAAATCTAACCCCACCCTACCCTCATTGCTCCCTAAGGAGAACCGCTTTTGAGAAGCTACGAAAATTATTACCTATATTAAAGACAAATATTATTATATATTTAATTTACTTACGCGTATCTATTATTACGTAACTAAAGTCGTTGTCTACGAAGCGCCATTAATATATAATACTATATAAAAGTATAACTATTAAGATAGGGAGAAGGCGGCCAATTTCGACTATAAAATGAGGCAGCGGGTATATAAGGTTCCTCGAGAGGGCGAATTTTTAAATCTCTCTAAGGGAAAATTTAACTAAAGAGCTATAGAGAGGTAACGTAAGGAATAGCTAGCTAAAGAGAAAAAGTAGTTAATAGCCATTAAAGTATATAATAAGAAAACTTAAAAGTAGCTATATAATAAATAGGTTAAAGATTTAATTAATAGTAAAGGGAAGGTTATATAGAAGGTTTACTTTAATAATTGGAAGAAAGAGCAATTGAAAGACGGTTATATACCGGTTTATAAGGAAAATATGTTCAACGACGACGAGAAGGGGGATAAGGAGGAGGGGGGAGTGTTATTTATATAGGATATATAGGGTATACTAATACTAAAGGTCTTTAAGAGGGTATATGGTAGCCCCTCTTACCTCTTTTCTAATAATTCGGTTAATATTAATTTAGGTAATAATCCCTCTACCGTTCAACCCCCTTCGATTCAACCGCTAAAGCTCCCCTCCTCCCCTCCTCGCCCACCCCCACCAGAAACAGGCTCTCAAGTAGCCGCGTATATTAATATACAAGTTATTAACTCCATAAAAGAGCCTATCCCTAAATCTATTGCTAACGTCGTTGCTCGTCTTAATATACAAATAATCAACGCTATATTCGAAAACGAAAATACCCTTATTAACAACGAAGAAGAGGTTATCCTCAAGGCAATATACAATAGGGAGGATAATAATAAGGAGGAAGAGGAGAAGGAGGAAAAGGAGGAATATACCTTACTGTTACTCCCACCAATTAACTACCGTCTCTTTAACCCGCCCGCTACACCAGAACCTCCCGCACGAGCTAGGCTATCAACACCAACTATTAACCCCTCTACTCTATTAAAATTACAATCTCTAGAATTAATACTATACTAGGGGGTTATAAAGTACGCTAAGGGTACTATAAGACCTCGTATACAAGTACGAAAATAAGCTATATGTATCAAAAATACACTAGTAAGAAGGGAAGCAGTCATAGAGGAGGTGGCACCTACACTTGCACTAGTACCTATACCAAAGGAGGCACCAATACCTACACCAACACCTGCACTAACGCCAGAAAATAATGGAAAAGACTAAAACTCATTCTTTTATTTACTTACTACCTAACTGGGCAATATACTAGGCTTCTAACGACGTTGTATTGATATATAATGTGGTAACTTACTATGTGGATGGGATATTTTACTAGTAGATTAGTATGTGGGCTGTCCCAGACTAAAAGTTTGTCCCACACAAAAATTTCCCCCTCTTTTATGAGAGGGGGTTGGCAAAAGGGTCCACCCAAGCCATCGCTAACCCCCAAGTATGTCTGGGAGTTTACTACACCTTGGGAGAGAACGGGTGGTTTATCACGTCTACCAGTAGTTTTCGTTGCTTTTATGATACCAACGTTTGTAGCCCAAAAAGCAAGCGTCTACATTCCTACCTGCTTCACCAATCGCGTAAACCAATGTTTGTAAGGATTTGTCAGCCATTTCACCTGTAAGTGCTCTTTAGGCTCAGGCATAAACAGCAATATCTTGTTGCCTGGAACAACTGCACAAACCTCAACTCAAACATGGACTCGAGCTCATCTGACGGCGTTGTGCAAGACCAAGCGACCGGAGCCGGACCCGGAGTTGGCAATGTCATCAATTCGGATGCAGTGTCCAACGCCGGTAACGTAGCCGATCCGGTGCTACCACCGCTCTCACCAGGAGACTTTACAGTGTACAACCGACTGGCCAAGCAGATGGACTACTTTGTTTGTGCTCAACCTTTCCCGAAACCTATTTCTCGATACTAATTGAAACGACTAGCATAATCACTTTCGCTCAATGTGGAATATGCTCTACACAGCTTGTACCCGTAACGGCAGTAGTCAAGGCACAGCAGAACTGACCGAGCGACAACTCATCGAAGAAGGGCTCCGGCTCACTCGCTACCTAGAAGCTCACCACTCCATTGAAGAGACCTATATATTCCCCTTACTAGCAAAGAAGATGCCTCAATTCCGAGCGGCCGTTAACGCCCATAATCATCAACATCAAGATCGCCGTCACCATCATCAAAGCGAAACGGAAGAAGACCATCAGGAGGACAACAAAGAGGAGGGCAAGGAAGAAGAAGAAGAAGCAAACTGTGAACTAATCCAACAACACCGCGCCATCCACACGGGCATGGAGCAGTTCGAGATGTACCTGAGGGATTGCAGGAGCAAGAAAGAGGCGTTTAGCCTGCCGGTGCTAAAGGAGAAAATGGATTCGTGGGGCGAGGTGTTGTTGAAGCATTTGGATCAGGAGGTGGAGGAGTTGGGGGCGGAGAGGATGAGGAGGTTTTGGAGTTTGGAGGAGATGGCGACTTTTCCGATGTGATTAAGCAGTGGGAGCCAAAGTCATGGTCTGGATGACTTTTGATTCTTAGGTGCCCGGAGTCATGATGTTCAAGTTTCTCATCATCAAAAGCCAAGATGCCAAGGCAGGGGAGGAGCTTGAAGTTGGGGAAACGTGTGTCGTGGGTAGTGATTGAGAGTTGTTTCATGACATGGAGGTGGTGGTTTCTGTTTGTCGAGTGTGATTGATGGTGGTGACAGGTGGACTGGGCGCTGGTGATGAATTGTTGCCACTCTTTGTGTACATCCTTGCCGTCCGCGGAAGTGACTGGAAGTAGCTGGTGTCAATATCGTCAGTTGGGAGATGGATGGCGACAGAATACCTAGAATCATGTTTGCATCATAACATGGAAAACAGGCAACCGCTATAGAATGTGGTGAAAACAAAGCTTCTCTGCCAGGTGAACGACGATGGTTGCCCAACAACCGTTGAAGCCAAAAACACAGGGATAAAGACTGCCAAGCATAATCCTCCAGTGATGCAAGAACCCTTCTGGCAAAGCGGAGTCGGTGAAGCAGGTGACGCCAATTTAAAGTGGACTTCTGCCTGATTGGTAAGGCCATATGTGCTTATCGTCTCTTCATCATGCTTATCTGTGCTTATCTGTACTTATCTGTGCTTAGGTATCAAACCGAACACTGGAATGCTGACCCGCCAAGTGTTGCCAGTCGGATCCAGTTTTTTAGTGTGCCAGACCGCCCCTACAAGTCTGGGGGACAGGTACGGCAGGGTTCCCGTGTCTGTGTGGTCCCCTCATCCGCCTCCGATGTAGCGACTGCCCAGTGAAGGGAAGAAAAAAAATATTTTCTGGGGCACTTGCAAGCAAGGGACGCGTTGCGCTTTCCGCCTACAACAAAAGAAAAAGACTTTTTTCCTGGAGGCGAGTCTGGCACAGGATCCGCATCCCACATCCACTATCCACTACTGCACTGCACAGCGGAACCCACCAATCCTCCATCGACATCTCCCTTTGGTCAGGTTCTTTTCCCATACTTACCTTACGTGACGGGTCCTTGTCCAGTGCCCCAGAAGTTTTTTCGTAAGACTTCCGTCCAGAAAAGCTTGCACTTCACCCTTCGCAGCAACCTTTTTCTTCCTCCTTCACCCACCCTCCATCTCCAATCCCCCCTCCCGCCTACTTCTTCTTGCGATTCTGCAAGATTCTTCATCCGCGATCCTTCTCTAACCAGTTGGACTGCTTACTTGTAACCACTTCACGCGTGTCGTTTGGTTCTTGTCTCTAGACGTCTGTCTCTTCCGACGTCTTCTTTTTCCCAACAAACGATACCCTTGCGTCTTCAAGCCTTTGTTTGCTCGTCGTTTCGGTCTGCCTCTACGCAACCTCAACAACAACCGACCTTCAATCACCAACCTCTCTAAACAACCAGCAAACATGTCCGGATCTTACGGCGGCGGCGGCGCCGGCGGTGGCTACGGTGGCCGCGGCGGCGGTGGTGGTGGATATTCTAACGGGTACGATCGCAATGGCGGCGGCTACTCTAACAACTACTCCTCACACGGGTATGATGTTTTGGCGCGAACCTGCTCATTTCCTCTCTCCCTTCATCATGTCAGCTGCGCTCTGCGCTTGATGCGCTTCATCTCAAAATCAAATCGCTAACATTTTGATTCAACAGTGGCTCGAATGGCTACTCCGGCGGCGGCGGAGGATATGGCGGCGGTGGTGGTGGTGGTTACGGAGGCGGCGGCGGCGGCTACGGTGGTGGCGGCGGCGGCGGCGGTGACAGGATGTCTGCTCTCGGTGCCGGTCTGCAGAAGCAGAGCTGGGACATGAGCGCTCTTCCCAAGTTCGAGAAGTCCTTCTACCAGGAGCACCCCAGCGTCGCCAACCGCTCTGCTGCCGAGGTCGACAAGTTCCGCGCCGACCACTCCATTGCCATCTTCGGTAGCAACGTTCCCAAGCCTGTCGAGACCTTCGACGAGGCTGGTTTCCCTCGTTACGTTATGGATGAGGTCAAGGCTCAGGGTTTCCCTGCTCCTACCGCCATTCAGTCCCAGGGTTGGCCCATGGCCCTTTCCGGTCGCGATGTCGTCGGTATTGCCGAGACCGGTTCCGGAAAGACTCTCACCTACTGCCTCCCCGCCATCGTTCACATCAACGCTCAGCCTCTCCTCGCTCCCGGCGATGGTCCTATCGTCCTTATCCTCGCCCCTACCCGTGAGTTGGCTGTCCAGATTCAGCAAGAAATCTCCAAGTTCGGCAAGTCGTCCCGCATTCGCAACACCTGCGTCTACGGTGGTGTCCCCAAGGGTCCTCAGATTCGCGATCTTTCTAGGGGCGTCGAGGTCTGTATCGCCACCCCCGGCCGTTTGATTGATATGCTCGAGTCTGGCAAGACCAACCTCCGTCGTGTCACCTACCTTGTCCTCGATGAGGCTGATCGCATGTTGGACATGGGTTTTGAACCCCAAATTCGCAAGATCATTGGTCAGATTCGCCCTGATCGTCAGACTCTCATGTGGTCCGCTACCTGGCCCAAGGAGGTCCGCAACTTGGCCTCCGACTTCTTGACCGACTTCATCCAGGTCAACATCGGTTCCATGGATTTGGCTGCCAACCACCGCATCACCCAGATCGTCGAGGTTGTTTCCGAGTCCGAGAAGCGTGATCGCATGATCAAGCATCTCGAGAAGGTCATGGAGGGCCGCGAGAACCAGAACAAGATCCTCATCTTCACCGGCACCAAGCGTGTCGCCGACGACATCACCCGCTTCCTCCGCCAGGACGGCTGGCCCGCTCTTTCCATCCACGGTGACAAGCAGCAGAACGAGCGTGACTGGGTTTTGGACCAGTTCAAGACTGGCAAGAGCCCTATCATGGTTGCCACCGACGTGGCTTCTCGTGGTATCGGTATGTATCCATCCTACCCCTCCCCCCTGCCCAACCCCCCCTCTCCCCCATCTCGGGCGACTTCCAGCATACGTACGTGCTGTGCTTTACTCTTATGTCTAGGGGCTCTCTTGATTGCGCGAACTTGCCTGACCTCGTGTCTACACGGTCTATCTGAGTGGAGTCTTGGGTTCGTGACGTAGCAGAAACAGTGGACTATGCTACGCCCGCGTGATTCTTCAATTGTACCGTTTTCCCCCAGTTCTGGTACAAGCGAGGAGTAGGCATTTCTTGATTCCCGTCAAGCTTGTCTCCAAGATTCCCAAGGGGATTTGCATGCATGGCCCAAGGACCTTTGGAACCTTGGATCCCAACCCGGCATATTTTCGCAATGGACAGCCCACCTGCCAAGGAGAGAAGTACTACCAGAGGATCACAGAACATACTTAGACATTCGTGTTCTCCGTCCGTCCTGGAATGTCGTTATTCCAAACCCTGCTATTGCTAACCACTGTCCTTCAAAAGATGTGCGCAACATTACTCACGTGCTCAACTATGACTACCCCAACAACTCCGAGGATTACATCCATCGTATCGGCAGAACTGGTCGTGCCGGTGCGAAGGGTACTGCCATTACCTTCTTCACCACTGACAGTAAGTGTCACCTGAATCTGCCCTAACTCGTGTCCTTGGCCGAATAAGATGCTAACGTTATCCCCTTACAGACTCCAAGCAGGCTCGTGAGCTCGTCGGCGTCCTTCAAGAAGCTAAGCAGCAGATTGACCCTAGACTTGCCGAGATGGCTCGCTACAGTGGCGGTGGTGGAGGTGGCCGCTTCGGTGGCTATCGCGGCCGTGGCGGCGGCGGTGGATGGCGCGGTGGTAAGTCATTTTCACGCAGGTGAATTTGGCAGTCCAAATCCTAATAACCCTCATTAGGCCGTGGCGGTGGTGGTGGCGGCGGCTCCGTCGGTGGTGCCAATGCCCTTCCGCTTAACAACCGTCGGTGGTAAAGCACCACTTGAAGCGAAACAGCACATGTCGATTGACCTTCCTGGTTCAATCCATTGTCGCCATGTCATTCCACACGACGAATGGCCCATTACAGCGACAATTTCGACCTCGAACATGATCACGGCGTTTTAGTAGAGGATACGGTCTAGAGGTTGGTTTATTGCTTTTAGACGCTCACAGGTGTCTGTTTCCACCTTGACGTCTAGGTGGGGTGGGTGTGGCTTTGTTCTTTTTTCTCGTATTCCCTTATTGTCATGCTTTGCGGGTTGCTATTTTCACTGAGGTCAGCCGGGGTTCAAAATTTTTCTTTATTTTCCGGAAAGTCACATCTACAGGTCATGTTGCACCACAACTGCACTTGCAGATCATCAACCTGTCCAGGTCAAGATGGCCGGGTTTTTACACCCTTCACCATATCACGTCATGCCGTTGCTCTGTCAAGGCATTATATGACTTATGACGACGGCTTATCACTCGAGGTTTGAACAAGGGATTTTATCTCTCTTGTTTCCCTAACAGGACGGGCGCATCTCGCCTCTCATCCTCGTTGATTAATGATGATCTTACCGCAGACTTGTGGTAGCAGTCGATAGCTACTATCCTCAGCTTTCCGTGTTGTACAGTAGGAAGAGGGTTCTTATTAAAGCATCATGGCTTGAAAGATTCTTGGAAGGATCTGTCTAGTCACAAAAGAGAGTCAGATAAACACGCGCTTTGTTTGCGCCCTTGGGCGCTGCAAGACTAACGCTCACCAGATAGACGGGACGTTTGCAGTAATTGTCAGCAAGAGAAGATAGCGGAAAAGAACTGTTTAGGTCTTCAGAGATACCCTTTATGCATAGATGGAAAAAGAACATTTACGCTATAGAGGTCTCTGTCCTAGCTCACTGTCAATGTGATTGTGATTGAATGTATGATGTTTCGCTCATACGTATCCGTGACGATTGCCCCTGACCTTGGGCTAATTCAACGGTTTGATTTTGAGATTCTTGCAGCAAGTTGTAGGATCTCGTCCAATGTGTCTTCTCTACTCCCCAGTTCTTCCTATCCGCTTGTTTTGCCGTGAAGTTATAAAAATGTCTTGTAAATACAAGTCCCCCTTTCCATACCGGACATGAACATGAACATCTCCATTACACATATGTCTTGTAACAATTGTTTCGTTCGTCCAGCACTTTTTTATCTTCGCGGAGCATTTTCCCTTTTCACTCTCTCGCTATGAGACACCGATCAACAAGAGAGAGGACGCCTGGTACAACTCGTGCTGCGTTTCAGGATTAACGCACAGTCCATGACTTTTTTTACAGAGGTAGCCTTGTGATCGGGAATGATGAGCAACCTCCAGTTCGTATCTGCGGCTTTCGGCGTCACGATCAGCGTTACGATCACCGTGCCGTACTGGGAGGAGGGGGGTCTTTCGATCTGTACTTAGACACCTCGCGAACCCCCGGTATTAAGCTGGTTGCGACTGCCAATTTACTATCAATTGACTGTCCCGCCCCACGAAACGTCCGAATTTCCAAACGTTTAAAAAAGTCGGACAGTCAAAAGATCGTCAACTGATGGTCAAATAACTACCAGATATCCCAATAATGAAACGTTGGTACATTCAAATGTCAAAAAAGTTCGAGAACTCTAAGTACAAGTCACCAAATACCGTATCGTCAAAAGACCGCTCGCGGACAGTTCGTAAGACCCCCCCCCCTCGCAGTACGGTGTCAGATTTGGTGAGTGGCCATCAGGTCATCATGTGGGTTCGAATGTCTGCTGAGGCAGGGTCGTCAAGTGTTCAGTTGTAGTGAGGAAGGAGTGACTCGACGTAAGGGAAGAGCGACTCGAGCTATGCATATTACGAGAGAGGTTAGCGAGTGGCAGGTGCGATAAACACTGGTTTCAACGGTACGCTCAGGTTCTACTTTTCTAAATCCTTTCCGTGGATATTTCTTGCTTTCCTTTGTCTAACTTCAAACCAACATCATTCCTCCGCATCAAATCCTAGACCGTTGAAACTTGGCTTTAGAGAACTCAAACAAGGGTAACTGGCCCCCACCGATTGCTGCCCAGAACCCCTCGGTCTCCATCTTCGAATGTATGAAGATCCTTCACCTGGCAAGCAAAAGCTGGACCGATGACTCTGTACTTGCCGCTGTCCCCCTGCTTCCGCAATATCATGGGCTGACCGACACCATCAATCAGGTATATCTCATCTCCCTTCTCTATCCCGTTGGGTCCTTTTCCAACAAACCCGTCACCCGAGACAAATAAGCTGGCAGTGCCGGCAAAACCACGGCATATATAATCGGTAAATCTGCGCGCTTGAAACTCCCGCTCTGACAACGCCAGCACAATCAACTCATGTCTAGAGGCATCATCATAGCCAGGTGAGGTCAGAATCTTATGCCATCTCCTAAAGTCCTCTTCAATCCATTCTTCTGGCGATGACTGATTGGATGGGCACAGCGTCAGAGATACTGATGACGAGTGGTACTCGCACCGGGGCGTTTGTTGCGCGTATAGGTCGACCAGCTCTCGCCGCCACTCATCGATAGCAGTAAGGGAGCCGCGCCACGCGGGCTCAACGCCATTGACCTGTTCTTCGCGTCCAATAGGCTGTGAAGTGTAGCTTAATTCTCCGATGAATAGTCCTTTGACGACGATCTCGGTTTCCGAATTCCACTTGACCAAGTCAAAAGAGTCTGACCTTGACGGGTCTTCGATGCGGCTATAGATGGCATCTTCCCTCACCCAATGCAGCTTCTCAGATCCCCAGTCCGGTACCCAGCTTGGCGCTCCTTGCAATACTGACCCTTTCACGTCGGATAAGAGGGCGATATATGATGGTTCCCGCTTTACCAACTCGGCATATAGCTCATGATACACCTTTCCAAGTGGTTTCTTGTAATCAGGCTGGGGAACCGAGACGCCCAGTCGCTCCAGAACACCATGCGTGGCAAAGGATTTGTCATGAGCTTCCTGGGCCTTGCGGTCCCTAAGGACACGAATGATTGCAACCAAACCGCTGGCAGCATCGATGTCGAACCACGCATGGGTCCCTATGGTCGGATAACCCAAGGCAAGAGAAACATAGACTATAAATGGAAGTAAATTGAGCGTAATAAGCCTTGATGCAATACGAAAAATGAAAAAGTATGACAGTTCATCGTCGAATAGACCAAATCTGAAGTCACCCGTAGCCGGTATTGCGATGGCCGGTACTGCGATGGCGGAGAAAAGTATTGTCATGAACCCGACATATGGGGGTAGAATCACGAGTCGAGCTCGATTCCATATCTTCCGGGTGCTGAATTGACCTTCGTATTCCTTGACGGAAACATACTTAGTTGAGCCTCCGTTCTGTAAGTCGTTGTCGTTGTGTTCTGTGCTATTCAACTTGGGCACACTGCGAAAAGCTCGTCCATTCCAGCCCGTGGGACGAGAGACCGTTCTCCAGACTTGGAAAAGGTTCGACCATCGCTGTGAAACCTCTGATTTCCCCACAGACTCGTCAACCCACTTTTCCCAATCGCTCATGGTTCTGATGTTTTTCGATATGGCCCAGCCCTTGAAAAGGTAGTACCGCGCACTCCATCCAGTGGGCCCGGTGCTTCTGCTGCTGCCTACAAAAGATGGTCTCATCTGGTCAAGGCAGTCAAGTCCCAGTTGAAGTTGCGCCCAGCTGATTGCTTCCTCTCCACAGACAATGACGGGATTGCTCGCCAGCACAATTTCCTGGAACGTCCATGCTCGTTCCATCCACTCCCTATTCAGCAAACAATCGAGATCTCCGGACCGCAGCAAGCCGCCTTTCCGAGTCCGACCAAGGCCACATATGCTGAGGAATTGCTGTGGTATGCACAAAGGAAAGCGCAAGTACGTCCGCAAAAAGACCCAGATCATGCTCTTGGCCAGTTGCATCTTGTAGTACGCCACCGGCCTCGGACCTCCCGGGGCCGCGTACATGTCCTCTTCAATCCACGGCACCCCAACAGGCGCAATTCTGAGTCTTGCCGCTTTCTCCAAACCCTTTACCGCCCTCGCGGTCCTCTCATCCCCATTGCCCAACCACACCCACACCGTCCTCGCCCACGTATACACCTCAGCCATCAACACAATTTGCCCGGCCTTTTCCGTGTCGTCAGCCTGGTTGATGCAGACGGCGTCAACCCAGATAGTAAGCGGGAGAGCAGTCCTACTCCGCATCCGACCCCCCGCATAATGCCGTTCTCGAAGGGCGAGAAGCGCGTCGAGACCGTTCTTGGTAATGGGTATATCACAAGAGTCATTGCAACGGATGGTGTCCACGATAGGAGAAGAGTAAGGACCCCAGGTGTATGAGAGGGCGGTAAAGGCGGGGAAGTCGGATAGGTGGACTATGCGGAGGGTTCCCTGGAGAGGAGCGTCCCGGTTTCCTGAGGGAGGTGAGTCGATGTCCAGGACGCGGATGGATTTGATGGAAGGGTCTAGGCGGAGGTGGGAGTAGAGTTGTTGGGGGGTGAATTGGATCTGAGGAGTATCAATTTGGATATCGTTGGAGTCATTCTCGTCGTCGTATGGCTCCTCGTTCACGGTCAAGAGACTGATACGGTCGTGGTCGGGGAGTCTTATGGCGCCGGAATTTGGCGTCACGGTATCTTGTACTTTGTTGAACAACGTCTTGATGGCTTCCATCTTTGAATTGTTTCATTTGGCAGAAATGGCAACTTATGACCTTCGACAAAGTGAAGTTGAAATAAAGACCTCAGTATCTAGTTAAGGCCACAATAAGGCTGAGGGTCTAGCGAGTTGGTTGGTCAAGAGCTAAAGTTACAGGGGCAGTCATTAATGCACCGCCGCAACTCCGCCTCTCACAAACTGGTTGGTTCAAGTACTTGGGGGTTGTCGGGCGGCTTGGTTGGAGCCTTTTCAACCCCCTACTCATTAAGTAGGGGGAAAAAATATTCTGGGACAAACTTTTAATCTGGGACATCTGAAATGTTAGCGTGCACTATAGAAAAATGTTAGTGGGAAGATGCAACAACGCAAACCACATCCATAATTTTTTTAAAATTCCGAAAAAATTCTTAGAGCTTGAGACTATAGTTAAAAGACTATTCTCAAAGTTGCATCAATTTTGGCTTAGCCGTTGGTGAGAAAAGTCAGTTGCAAGCGTTTTTCGCTGCGAAATCGTCGGTTCGGTTCGATGCTTTCACGCAACCAAAAATGACGATATTTGGTAATCACTGAAAAGTCCGGAAGCCAATGCTCGCCCAGCTTTCAAGATGATTTTCTATAATTTTCTGAAATAGTTTCCTAAGTTACGGATTACCTTCTAGAATTTTGGTAGAATTTTAGAAAAATGGTGGACGTAATTCGCGTTGCTCTATCTTGCCTACTAACAATTCTCCATAGTGTCGCCTAACATTTCAGATTGTCCCAGATTAAAAGTTTGTCCCAGAATATTTTTTCCCCCTACTTAATGAGTAGGGGTTGAGGAAAGGTCCCACCACCGAACCGCACCACAACCCCCAAGTACACTTGAAGCGATGAACGTCATTGCTTACAGACTACCGCTTTTTCCCAGTCATAAGAGATTTACCAAACGTGACACTTTTGGTGAGAATAGCGCATATGCACGACGGCTTTAGTTGCAGATGAGGAATCAGTCCAATGGGATTCTTCCATCTTCCTGGCTAGCGCCTTTGGTAAATCTCTTACGACTGAGTTTTAGCGGTAGTCACAATGCGCCTGTTTGAGCATTCAATAGTTCTCGCAGAAATAAGAAGGAGTCTTGTAGACTTTGAAGACGTCCCACAAGTCAAGTGAGGTGCCAATCTCACTGCCACTCAAAAGTCCTGAACTGTCAGGCTATTGTACTCCAACATGAGCTACCAACAATAAATATTGAGCAAGTGATCTAGGTCCCACTGAGAGGCTGCTCATCATTAGGCCGTTCTTCTTATAACGCTATTAAACATTCATTCTTCGTAAACCTGTAATTTATCAGCTGACTTAGGCGGTGGTAAACAATCCACAGTACTTTCTTCTCGTGCCACCGAGACGGCGCCGTAGCGCAACCACAGTTGGTGTGTGCTGATCCTGTTTTTTCAGGCTTCCTCATGTCAGATGCCTTTGATTCATCAGACAGCCATCGATCAACAAAGTCCGAAGCCACTCAGAACTTGAGCGCCTTGTCACCTTGCTTGGGATAAGCAGAGGTTACCGGCTGCATATCAACGGCCACAGAAACATCAGGATTGCCAAACTCCGCTGCCTCCTCAGTGATAGCAACGCTCTTGAGGAAGGTGATCGGCTCGGAACTCAAGGAATTCATTGCCTTTTCATCTTGCCCCGCGACTGAGATTGGTGTCAGAGGTCTTAGACCTCTTCCAAATTCGCACTGAGAACGGTGCCGTCTAAGGCTCGGCTTCCTCGGCAAGGCCCTATTGCTGAAGAACATGATCTCGTCCATGTTGGGTCGGGGAAGAGGTGTAGTGCATGCCTCGACGTATACCTTACTCTTCAAGGTTTGGATTGGGCTAGGGTTGTACTCCTCTTCGGACTGCATAGGGATTTGATCTTCGTCCAAAAATCCAGGACCAGGCTCGGCCGATGTGCTCTTCATTCCCCTTTGACGCTCTGAAAATGGCAAATCGGTCACCGAGGAGAAGGCCATATCTCTCACTGCGGGATTGACCTTGAGTGAAGCTGGGCTATGGAATAGTTAGTTGTGATAGCTTGTTGACAGCGGGAGAGACCAGATACAAACCTGCGCCCATTGCAGACGATATAATGGGTACCGAAAGTGGTGAGTGTCTCGGGTTCATTAATGCCATCTTCCGGGGTGCTTCGGGGTGTCGGTGGAGGAGTCCACGGAGGTCGAACAGGGAGAAAATTGCTCGCAAATGAACCTGTCGCGTACGCAAAGTCGAACGTATCCGTTGACGAACCAACCATACATCGTGAATGGCGAGGCATGCCAGGCGGACTCAAGCGGCATGGTAATGCGAGAGTGACCATGTTCCTGGCGTCAGAGGAACCATCGTGCGCAGCCATCTCGAGGTACTGGTCAGCAATATCCAGGGCCTTATCGCTTTGTACGGAGAGCCAAGCGCCGGCCGAATGGTGTCCAGAGCGGTCAATGGGCTGTTTCAACTTGATGTTAGACAAGGAAACCGTGTAGGTGGGGCCGATATATAACATACCAAAGGAACAGGTCGGTAGCCAATGTTGCGCACAATTTCAGCCTTCGCGTAGGGCCTTGACTGTAGCTTGCTAAAGCCATAACCAACGGCCACGGTTGGCTGAATATCGTCTTCGGCCACAGCATCGATGCTGATACGATTCTTTTCGGTGGCGCTAGGGTAGCAACTATGGCAGACAGTGAAGCTGCACTCTGTTTCGCGGCTTGGCATCCACGGTTGGTCGTCGTCAGGGAACCTCTTTTTAGCATGCTCGTAACGCGGGTGGTCGGGCTGGCGGCGTTCTTCTGCTATGGTATTCTTGACCTTTAGGTTGTTTGTTGATGTTAGCAAACTGACCATGTTTTTGACGTGGACTCATGCTATAGGCAGACGTACGTTCTCGCGCTGACTCAGTATCGTCTGGATCTGAGACGGGGTATAAGAGACCATCTGTTCGGGAGTAATCTCTCTGAGGAAGCTGTAATCCTCGTGGCGGGCCTCTGGACCATGCTTCCCAAGGGTCATCTTCTCAGCGAAGGTACAGCCGATACCGTCGAAGGCCACAGGAATTCCATTGGCCTTTCTGCCCATGATCAGGGCATCGCGATCGACGATACATCTGTAGACCCAACCGAAATCGCCCTTTCGTCTGCAATAAGCACACTTATCTCGCGTAGAGTAGAAGCGGGTCATGACAGAGTGAGGACATCTGATTTTCAACCGGCGCTTTGAGGAACGCTGAGAATGGATGGAAAAATCGGATAAGGGGATGGGCAAAGGCGGAAACGCAAGAGTCGCGATTGGCAAGGCCGGAAGCGGCTTTCCCATGTCGGGCGCCTCCATTGTATCGACGATATGCCTTGGTGTTCGAGAACGGATAGGAAGCTGTCGCGGGGGATCAGGGTCGGCCATGATGTCGGCGGGGAAGAGCAGTTGCTGGCGCGGTCGCAGTCGCAAATACCGTCACGGTAGGAGTTATCGTCAATGGATGGCGGTATAGAAGGCTGCGATGGGGTCTTTGGCCATGCCAAAGGAAAGATGAAGACAAGCACCTTGGGAGGCGTCAATGGGCTAGTGTCGTTGTTGGGCAAATACTGCGAGCAGGCCGACGACGAAGTGAGGCGAGGGTGGTACCCGCGTCGAGTGTCTGCAAATCTCGAGGGCAGCAAGACCGGATGACAAGAATTGGATGCCCACATCCTGTATCAATCAACATCAAGTGCCAGCCAGTGTTCTGTCGGTGTCCTCCACTACATGCCAAAGTCCCCTCCATCGACGCAGATGAGATGAAACTGAAATCCCATCCCCGCCTCCAAGACTTTCGAAAGACTGAACTGCACAACTGGAAGGAGCGTTGATGGCCACTTGCCAAAACTATCCAGTTCATCGCGCCTTCCTTCAACCAACACCATATCTGACCAGACAGGAGCCGGCCTCCAAGTTGTTCCGAGTCCGCTTTGGACGCATGACGCAAAAAACTGAAGTCAGCCAACCCCCGCTCCAAAGGTTCAGTTCCTCTTTAACCCACAACACCCAGCAGATCGACCATCATTCGCAACATCCACAGTTTCTGGGTTGCCATTCGAAAGCGATGATTTCCCTCCCTTGACCACGCAACACAACAACCTTTCAGGTTCGCCTTCATGGAATATCCATAATCACCCTTTGAACAATCGAAAGGCACTTGCCAAACGTCGTATTCCTCCATCCTATCCCACCCTTCTCGCTCTAGGCTGCTAACGGCCTTTTCTCCAGATCATCTCCGGCTCCCGAAGCCAGTTGTCGATCCCATGGCATGGGCTCTTGTCGTCGCCATGTGTCGTCGGACATTTGCTGGCCTGTCCAACGGGAAGAAAGGAAGTTGATATCCAATCTGCCAATGCGGCTCAAAAGCATGTCATGCTCTCTCTTCCCCTTGTTTCCCTGCCATTTGCCGGCTTGGACTCAGGGGAACATGACACTTTCCGATCTGTGGAGAACCGAGAGCCAACAGGGACAGAAGCATCGATGACGGCAGCAGATCCTGGCCCCGGCGAGCCCAGCGCCCTAGCGCCCAAAGAAGCAAAGAAAGTCAAAGGTCCAGCACAACCAATGAGACGCGCTCACGGCCGGCTGGCGATGGAAGGCTGCATCGTGGACCAGCACTCGCAGAGACAGAATGGGACACTGGGACAGGGATGTCACTTAGACGAACGCTAGCGAACACTGGGGGCGGGTCCATGATCTGTGCGGCCCCGGTCTGTTTCTCTTCTGGGCTGGGAAACCAAATGGTACCTCGGCCGATTGGGTAAACACGCCAATCACGTCGTCGCTGGACCCCTGGAGGCCTAGATTTCAGGTCCCCACAACAAAGCTGTGCAGCCGCGATGGACCTCTGAGAGCTCGAGCTCGGGCAGCTCAGCGCTCCAGTCCCTGTCTTGGAAGCCACCCGGGGGTCGATATTGGGAGCGACACGACCGCGACCTGCCATGGAAAAGCAGAGAGCCCTCGCAAGTCGCAAGCCCTCAGCTCCTGGTCAGCTCCTGGGCCGGGGACCTGGGCGCAAGCTGGGGCTGGTCAGCTCCTGTTTACCAACCTCCTCGTAAAGGCCTTCAAGACTCTCAATTTGCTATTTCCCCCTTCCCTCGAACCACCCCCCGGATCGCGCCAGTTGCCAAACCCTGACCCTCTTTCACTCTTTTTTGCTTCCGGTTCTAGCGGTCCCAATCGACAAGACTCGTGCTGTTCTGCTGTCCTCCCCACCTGTTGCTGCGTACATCCCATCGCCGGTGAGTTTGCTGTTTTTCTTGATGCTCGCAGAGAAGCCCTTTGGAACCCGAACAGTCGGTGACGGACCCGGACGGCGCGGGCTAGGGGCCCGACGGGGCGTCATTGCGGAGCATTGGCAGCTCGCATTATCCACTCCGAAAGACCCCCAAAAGCCCCAACCTCCAGCGAAAGCTCCCAGCTTCCCCGGCCGGATGCCCCGTAATCACAGACAGAAATCCGTCGCAACCGTTCCGGGCGCGACCGTCGCATCACGGCGAATTGTCCGCGCCCGCCGACTCACACTAACATCTTCCTTCTGTTATCGGTACCTGCCAGTACCGTACCGGTACCGCTGCCATATACCCGTGCGCCCCCGCTGACCACTGCCCTTCCTTTGCAGGCTTGACGCATCCCCAACATTAGATGTCGATTTGACCGCCGCTACCTTCCTCTCACCATGTCGGTAAAAGACCACCACAGCACTGTCGGCGCCATCGCCGAGGCTGTTGCCGAAGCCGCCCACGGTGACCTGCCCGGTACCAAGGGCCACCATCCCATCTCGGCCGTCATTGGTACCGCCCTCACCGGCGGCAGGCAAAATGCCGGCACCAAGGGCTATTTGGCTGTACGTCATCCCGTCACTCCCTCTTCCACATGCGCTCCCTAGATGCGCTCATACGGCACCACTATGAAGTCGAATAGGTACAGGGGAAGGTGGTTATGAAGGGTTGAAGGCATCATGACAATGGATACTGACCTCATCGTCTACCTCAGGCCTACCTCAAGCAGCTGGAGACCAACCCCCTCCGTACCAAGATGCTCACTGCCGGCACCCTAGCTGGTAGTCAAGAGCTGCTCGCATCATGGCTCGCCAAGGATCGCAACAAGAATGGCAACTACTTCACGGCCCGCGTCCCCAAGATGGCCACCTACGGCGCCCTTGTTAGCGCCCCCTTGGGCCATTTCCTCATCTGGATCCTCCAGAAGATGTTCCAGAACCGCAAGAGCTTGAGGGCCAAGATCCTCCAGATTCTTGTCAGCAACTTAATTGTGCGTCAATGTCCCCCAATCCTTATGTCTTGAGCCTGGTTAACATACTTTCTCCCATGTCTAGGTTGCCCCGATTCAAAACTCGGTATACCTTGTCGCCATGGCCATCATCGCCGGCGCCAAGACCTGGAAGCAAGTCCAAGCGACCGTACGTGTCGGCTTCTGGAAGGTCATGAAGGTCAGCTGGCTCTCGTCGCCCCTCTGCCTGGCCTTTGCCCAGAAGTTCTTGCCCGAGGCCGCCTGGATGCCCTTCTTCAACCTCGTTTCCTTCTTCATCGGTACCTATATCAACTACATTACCAAGAAGAAGCGCCTCGCCGCTTTGCGCAGGAAGCACTTCGGCGACGGTGCTCACGGCGACCATAGACATGGTCGTGAGCGGGAGCGTGATCGTGAGCGTGAGCGCCATAGCAGCCCCCCTCACGGCCACGGCCCTTCCCACGGCGGCCGTCCCATCAACCCTACTCTCGGCAGCCATCATGGAGGTGGTCCCGTCCCGCCTCCTCAGGACTACCCTTCTCTCGGCCAGAACCCCCATTACTAAGCGCAAACGCATTACCGGGCCAGCTTAAGTTACGGTGATGGACACCAGGTTCAAGCTGCGGAAGTATCGTGACTGCCATGTAAACACATCGCCCCGGGATTACCCCTGATATATGATACCAAATATGAGAGTGGGGTGCTCATTAAACCAACATTCGTGCCAGCCCGCCAGGTAGGCCCAGCACAACAAGACAGGTACAACCCAGCCACACACATAAAGCGACACTAATACTACGGATTTCCTGACGAGACGAGTATATGTAGATGAAGATGAAGGGTTGTACACTGGAGGGGAGGAGAAGTAAGGAAGAAACGAGATCTTTCGGATACGGGCTTCTTTGATATCTTTTTGCAAGGCGCGGGGAAAAGCCGGAGCAAGTTGGATATTGCGTGTGAATGTATTATCTCTCTGTTACTACGTACGCTTATTTAACGATGGATACCTAATTGTGTCACTGAGATCTCGCGTTTGTTGTGTATGAACTCCTGCCCTGGTACCATTCTTGCTCTCCTCATTTTCAACTAGTCCTTGGTGGTTGAATCGAGCCTAGTCACGTCATAGCCCAGCCAGGTTCGTACATATCCTATGATGATCGTATCCTCCAGCATCCAAATCCTCGCCTGAAGCTTCCCAGCTCGACACTCGGGATTATCTGATGGATAAGCAAAGTGTGAAGTGCGTTTTTGTGCCACGAGCTGCTTATTGTGCCTTTCTCTCCATGATTTTTCCCTGGCAGTCGACCCAGGGTGCGAGACATGGCGGGAGCGCGTTCCTGAGGATGCGGTGGAATTGGGCTCAAGACGCCTTTCGAGGTATTACTGCGTCCAGTATCTCGGATGAACGTTGTATAATGTCCCCTCCACTTCCTATGACCATGGAGCGTAACAGTGCTCAGTCATCGTTGTTCGACATTTGGCCACTGGCAACATTGGAACAAGCACCCCAGGGCCTGCCAGGGGTACCGCAATCGCCGTTCTGTCCATTTCATGTCGATGTTGTCTTCACACCGACCCCGCTCAGTCAAAGCCTTCCAAGGGAAGATCACCTTCAAGCATAAACCCAGGGCTCCAATACTCCCACTCAATGCCCTGCTTGTCGACCCAAAGCATACCCTCGCCCACGAGATCCTCCAGCGCCGTTTGCGCTCGTGCTCTCGTCCATCGCAAGTTATCCATCAACATCGACACACTGACGTATCCCAACACCTGGGCAGCCTCCAGCACGGCGCTCTGATCCGTATTCAGCTCCTTGGGCACAGACCGGATGTACTGCTTGCTTCCGACCTTGATAACCGAGTATGCCGATCCAAGAGGCTTGAGTGTCCCGACTGCACGAAGAATATCATCTCTGTTTGCCGTGTCAGCATCTCCATCCATTCATTTATCCACCCAGCGACCCTTTTCTCTCAAGAGCAACGGAAAAGGGGAAGAAAACGACCTACTCAGTAACCCCCTGCACCCCCATCCCTTCCACCCGTCCCCTCACCACCCTCTCCCTAACCATGCCCACCTCAATCAACCCCCCATTCTCCCCCCTCGTCTCCCCACAAACCTCCACCACCCTCACAGCCAACTCAAAATAAAAATCATTCACCGTCCGCCCCAACAACTGCGCCCACATACTATCCCCCTTTCCCTTACTGTCGCCATGCCCACTACTAGCCAAAAGCGGATCCACCCCGATAGCCGTGCACATGCGCGCAAACTGCGCGCGAAAAGTCGGGTTGGACTTGATGTCTTTGGCGTGCGTGGCGGCGAATTGTTGTAACAGGGAGCGGAAGACGGAGAGTTGGGTTTCGAGAGCCGAGGCTTGCGAGGAGCGGAGGGCGGAGCCGTGCGTGGCGTATTGCGCGGAGGTGAGGCGGGAGCGGTCGAAGGCTGCTAGGCCGACTGCTTTGTTTTTGCGGTGGGACATTTTTTGGAGTTTGGTTGGGTGAGAGGATGTGCTATTTTGGGAGTTGTGAGGGTTGCTGGGTGTGTTCGGTCATATAGGTGGGTTTCTGTGTGCGGTGGTGATGGATGAGACAAGAATTCCGAGGGATGAGATTTTGTTAGGTGCTGTGATGAATCGGGTGTGGGAATGAGAATGAAGCTGAGATTGAGGATGAAGATGGGAGTCAAAAGCGGAGATGTGAGGTTGATGTTGGGTGGAAGTCGGAGTGGGATCCGGGGAAGCGGGATGGATGTGATGGCGTGCATGTGGCATGTGGGGCGCATGCTGAGGCGCCCCGGCCCCGTCCCGTCGACGGGACAGGGAAGTTCCACCGTGACGTACGTAAGTACTTCCGTGCCCTTTCTTGTAGATCGTGATATTGAAGTTGAACATCGACAGTCTGTGAGGATGCTCTTGAAAGTCTATTGCCTCGATATTCAATTTTTTGGGGTTCCGAATTAGTGGACTAAGGCCGGCGAACGGGCGATGGTGCGATTTTACAACATCATCCAACGCACTTCTTCTCTTTCTGTAATATACATATGCATGTAGATGACTATAAAATTAATCAAGGCTCACTTTCATTGAATGCGTATCAAATGATTTCTTCCAATTTTCATCGTCTTTACCTCCCAACTTGATGCTATGGGAGCGATCCCTTGTCCGTGTGGTGACCAAACTACCCAACTGTACTTCATCTCCTCAGTCATTAAACGAAACCAATCCAACCTCCCTTCCATGCTCGTCCAAATCGACCACGACCGGCATATCGTCATCATCGTCATCATCCTCGCCTATCTCATCCTGCCGTTTAGTTTCCTCAACCTTCGCATTCTTGGACCCCAGGTCCCATCCGCGAGTAAACAACCACGCCTCGAGTTCGCCGAAGATAGCCCTTGCTGTCGACTGTTCTATTGTAACCTCATCGCCAAGTCCATTCAACACCTCCTCAAGCTTTCTGGCGTAAGTAGCCAGGGCCGTCCTCAACCGTCGCCTGTTCTGGAGGTTGAACTGATATATGGGTCTATCCGGGCTCGGCCCAATGGTATGCTCACTACGGCCCTTCTCCTGTTCTTCCTCCGAGGTGGACTCAACGTTTTCCTCCGTATAGACAATCTGCGCGTGCAGCGTTCTGATAAGCTCAACTGTGAGAACTGGGTAAAAGAGAACGAGACGGTATGCGCGGACGATAATCTTGAGCACAAGATCCCACCACTGCTCCATGCAAGCGTGGTTGCCCAGATGGGTGCCTGTCAGGAACGTGAACTGCAGCTCGGCGATGATGTCATACGGGTCAAAACTGAAGTCGGTGTTCCGAAGAAGTGCCAGCACTCGATCGGTGGTATCCTCGACGACGTCCCGTCTGGTTGGGTCGGAGTCGAGAAGTTCGAGATCCTTGAAGTCTTGGGCAAAGAGGAAGTGGAACTCGCTGGACTGCACCGACTTGTACTGGGCTCGGTATGATTCCCCGGCTGCACAGTCGGCCGAATCGACGAGCCAGGCGTCGACTGACTTCTCGCCAGTGATTCGGGTCAGGAATGGCTCGGATATGGCGTGGGTCAGCTGCTGCCACATCTTGGCTGGGTCCGTCATGAATGATGGCTCGTTCCGGCCAGCAATCGAGAACGGCATCGGCTGCGAGGCTTTGGCAGAACTCCTCTTGGAACCACCGCGCATGTCGTACGGCTTTAGCTTAGGGTATATGAACTCGAGATTTTCGGCCTGGTGTCGTTCCTCGGCCTGATTCGGGAGGCTGGAGAGGACCTCGTTGTACGGATCCCATTGCTTCACGTGCACTCGGCCGTTTTGTTCCTGGGTGACATACCAATATCCGTTTCGGGATGTGGCACCGGGTTGCTGAACCCACAGAAAATGAGTGCCTGCGGGTATGTCACGAAAACCGAGAAGGCTTTCGCTGGTGGTTATGGCCATGTCGTCATGGCCCACGATGAAGTCCTTGGGGAGGGATAGTAGTAAGAAGACATCTCCGTGATCAGGGCTGCTGCTTGACTGCGCCAGCAGTGGCATGTCATGGTCCCCTTCATCATCTCTAGCGGTAGAGCTCATGTTGGTGGATGGAATGGCGTGAGATTCAAGTCGCTGGAAGTCGTGACTGGTTGAGGGTGAGTCCGATATTGACAGACTCGGCAGGTTCGATGATTGGTTGCCATGATGACGGAGTGGGGCCGCTATCACTGCCTGCCGACTCCGGGGTCCCCGGCCGGGAAGTGTTTGCGCATCTTGTCCGCGCTTTTGGTCCGTGTTTGACAGCTTTCAAGGCTTCAACAACTGGACGAGCAGGCGACCCAAGGGGAACCACAGAAGACTAAATGTCAACCATGGCATTTCATAAGAAGAAATCATGACGAAACCTTGACGGGGCCTTCCTCGCAGACATACACTTCGTTTCCAGTCTATGGCCTTGCCACCTCGCTGCTGTTCGTCTCCGATTGATTCACAGAAACACGCCTTATGGAAGCCGGATCATCGATAACGGGATTCAGAATCAGAACTAGGCTCCTCACTTTGAACAGCCCAATGCTTGGAAAGAGTTTGCGGATGAGTGGGGGAGACTAAAATACAGTGCCCCTGGACCACCTGTAAAAACAGGCGAAAGGGCGTAGGGCTTAGTGTCCTAGGGCTGATATTCCCCGTCAAACACCTCAACCGCGAGTTTAGCGCCATGGTGGTCTCCACATGTGGCATCTCTAACCGCGCGTGAACTTTGTTTCAAAACGGTTATCGACTTCAACTTACCAAGACTTGACTCCCGACCTTACTCGCCAGAAGTTATTCGGGTTCTTGATCCTGTATTTGAGGAGTTACTAGCCAAGTGGTGAGTGTTAGGCTACTTACTCGGACTAGTTCCGCGTCGAAGTTGCTTCCTGTATATTCTTATCCCTTTTATCATGCGCGGTCTGAAGTTTAGACCTCCCGTATTCACAGCCAGTTCCCTGTGCTGAACCGTGTCGGTCGTATTTCTCGGGGTTTACCACACAGTCTGTATGTATGACCTCTCCCGACTCTACATGAATGTTCGATATACTTACTGTGTGCAGGTACGACCAGAGATACTGCACTGTAACCCGAGCCGACACTGCTACCTTTCGCATGACCAGTCTAATGTCAGGGGTTCCCTGGATGATGCAAGCCTGGTCGTGTAGCCATGGTCAGCCACGCGAGCATTCTGTTCCATTGCACCGGGAGAGACCGGCCGCCCCGGCCGTGTTGCTGTCTGTCCAAGGTGGCTCCCCTGTGGCTGTTCGGAGAAGCTCCCGACATGTGGTGTTACTGTGACCCTAGCGGGGAGCAAAGCTGCGAGTACAAGGGTGAATGGACTGGATATTTTGTGGAGGTGATGGCAAGATGTGCCTAACCAGTCAGTCATTCCCATCGAACTATGTTTTAATATGTTCGCTTCGCAAAAGTACTGTAATGGTTGCGAAGCTTCCTCCAGGAATTTTTAGTGCATAGTCCAAGCTTAACCGAGGTTAGCAACAAGTTTGTCACAAGTCAGTTTGAGTTTAGGAGCAGGTCCTGAAGTTGGACGGTTGCTAGTTGTAACCATATCCTTACTGATGAATAGTCCATAGCCCATCTGCTTCTCTCATCATCACCTTTCCTTATCTTTTCAGACTTGTTCATATCTTCTGGACGTTCCATGCAGCCATCCCAGCCACCGAATGCGAACTCCTCCCATTCACGTGGGGAACGAAAAACCAAGGCTCATCGAGCGTGTATACCATGTATATGCCGTGCCAGTGTTTCGCAAACTTCAAAAACAAAATTCTCAAATTATATTTCCTCCAACCAGAAATATTTCCACTGGACCACGGAGTGACAATGCCGATATGGCGAGCTGCGTTTTCCGCTTTAGTAAGCGAATTACAACGATCGCAATGCTTCGAAAATTTCAAGTGAACGTAACACAGTGGCTCGTATCTCGGGGCTATTTCCTCATGCTGTGCTCTTCCGTCTGCGGACGAATTCGTCCCCTGTCTAACTGTATGTTGGGGTACGCCTTCACTCAATGGTTGCTTGTGTCCCCGTTCTTGTTGAGTTCTTGCTTGGATGTCGGTATCTTCCTGGAATTTTATGGGTTCCATTGGGTCGATGGATGTTGACAATATACACCTCTCAGGCGATGAGCTCCGAAATCAACCCAACAGGTGTAGTTCCAGGCTCATAGCGGTCCATCAGTTCCTTGGTTTAGCAGTCGTCTCAGTGGCCGTCTTTTGATCTTGTATTTTTCCCGCTGCAACATTGTGTCCTGACCATATCCACCCATATACACTTTCAACCATGCTGTTGTCGGCCTAGGAGATTGAAAAGAGACGGGCCGGCAACGCGGAAGAAAGAACAACCGGTATGCTCCGAAGGAACCGATGACCCGTGAAGACTTGGCGCCGCCATCACGCTAGGTTCAAGTTAGATTCACAGAAGAACGATGGAATATCAGCGTAGTGTGGTCACACAAGACCAGACCACTTCAGGGTTCGGGTAGGTAGGTATCTTTTGAACGTACGCTAAATCCCCTAACACGATACCTTACAGACGGGAGCTAATTTGCGATCGATATGAAGCTAACTTACTAGCGGACGCTAAATTGAACCAACAGCAGATCGTACCTCTATGGAAACTTAAATGTAACTGCATGAGTCGTAGCGGTACCCTTTAGTTCTTGAAAGGTAGAGGTACTCTGTTAACAGAAGCACGATCATACATACATGACACATGGATACATGTCGAGATGGAGACCTTCAGTGGCCTTGGGATCCTTTAACTCCGGTAGCTTCCATGGTTCAAAATCTGGGGAAGAGTTATTCCCTTCTTCAAGAAAGGTCTTTGTACTGCGTATGCTCAACTTCTGGCGAATTTCTAGTTCCTATCTTCTAAGCTGTTGGTGTTCGAAAGCCCGGGTGTCCGGTCCGTGGCCCAAGAGGTTCTCCCTTGTAAGTACGTAACACTAACATGCAAGCCAAGCAGCGCCGACAGGAATGTGAAACCCAATGCATGGATGCTGGATGCTCTAGCAGCCGCCGTTAGCCAGGTACCTTACCTACCTTACCATCCGTTACACACTTTCTTTGAGACCCCGCCTTTCCCAGGGTATTCATTCATCCTTTCATTGTCGTTCACCCTGTGACGGCTGGACGGTCGGTCGGACGCGTGGCGGCAGAACCCGGGCTAGAGCGGAAACAACCACGGACAGGCGGGCAAGCGGGCAAGCAGCGGCCTACTGCTGCTGCTGCTATTGCTGCTGCTGTTGCTTCTTGCAGGATGCTCCCGTGTTTATATGTTTTGCGCCAAGGTAAATTCACGACTCGAGCGGACAGACGGGAAACATTGGCTGGCTGGACTGGGCTGGCCTGGACTGTAACTGTAAGGTAAGTAACTAATGCATCCCGTTCACTTGGTCGACGCTAGGCAGGACTAATGTAAGGTCGGGTACTAAGTAGGCGAGAGGTAAGGTAGGTAGGGATGCGGTAGCTATGAGGTAGCTATGAAGTCAATCTTACACATCACTGACCCTTTCGTTCCCACGACGGGCACGCACCTACCAACTGCACGCTACTGTAAGAGCGGCAAGCAGCGGACGGGGGAGGCAAGGAAGCAATTCGACGTAGGTTGAGCTTTTATTGAGAGAGTCGCATTTGATGCGAATTGGAACGACAACGAACTAAACTCGCCTTGGTAATCAAGATATAACTCGAACGATACTAGCGTGTTCCAATCTCTTACTTTAGTTCCCGATTTGCCCGGCCGCCGCCGCCGCCGCTCGCTCGCTGCTTGCTGCTCCCGTCCCTTGGGACTCCTTGGGACTGGACTGGACCGGATCCGACCCTTTCCACTTCGCTTCTGTGCCATCATCCCACCATCTACCACGTGTTGACTAACCCTACTAGTGTACCGCTGCTACGGTACGCTATTCTTGCCGTGGTTTAGTTCCCGTGCTTAGGGGCTGTGTGTAAATGGTACGTACCCCAGAGAGGACCGTTGACGGACTTGGAACCATGACGACGTAGATCTTGGTGTCGTATTTTTTTTCTGGTGGTAAACAGATAAAGCCGGATATTGGCCTCCGCAGAGTTTGATCGATTGATGTTTGGTGACTCCTGAGGATGTATCTTTATCTTCCCAACTGCGCCCTCCCTTTGCGTTCACGCGGCCTGTTAACCGGTGGCCATCTGGACCACCTACGAGACACTAGGGTCCAGTATACGTAGCGATGTTGTCTTGCATTCCATCCAACCCGATGGATGGCCACATGAGCAGGACAGGGGGTTTCGGAACTGCGGGCTTAGACGAAATCGACCCAGTCAAAGATGAGTGGTGGTACAAGGCGACGGCCGGGTTTGCTAGGAGCACACGAAGGATTCGCCCACTCACTCAGTCAGTACTCACTGAACTCACTCCCAGCCTGACCTGAACCAAGATGTTCCGCGTCTTTTCTAGAAAGAAGAAAATGGACTCGGATACCTAGCCCCCTTGTATGCACGTCATACGGACAATGTTCTCAACCATTCTTCCGCTGAGCCTCAAGAGCCTCACCTCAAAATGCCCATCACCCTTGCATATACACGTCGTGAAGCTGTATCATCAAGCAATGACACCAAGTCAAGATAGAGAGGAGCAAGCTTGGAAGTTTCAACATCTCTCTCTTCACTGCGCACTTCTTTCAATGCTTTTTGTCCCAGTTCAGGGACTGACAACGTACAGGTATCTTCGCCTTTCATTTTGACCGCTCCACCTCCCGCTCCCCATGCACCTTCTAACATGCAACCCAAATGAAACCCCGAAAGCCGATATAATGAAAAGGTATAGTGCCAGAAGAATGCATAGGAAAAGGTTCTTGTTACACCAGCCCATAAACAGAGATTACACCAGCCATTCGAACATTGCTCGAGTTGCCTCATCCATCGTAACACCCTCTTTCTCTTATAATCCAAACAGTGACAAAATGCAGCATACCAATATCATAACAGCGTACAGAATAGTTCTGGATATTTTCCACAACGCCTTAAAACCTCAACGCCTCCGGAGGACCAGTATCGATTCGTGTCGTTCACACACACTCTCTCTTTCCTATGTGGTGACTCTTAATCACAACGAGAAGAGTAAACTACTAAGCCTGCCCATTGGCATCTGGGTATGATTAGCATATGCTTCGTCGGAAAGAAGAGACTTTTTGGTACTTACGTTGGGCTGTGCTATAACCATTGGGGTGATAGGGGGAACCAGAGCCGGGAGGGTAGTTCTGGTATGCCGGGCCATTGTATTCCGGCAGGGGGTACTGCGACACTGGCGTGTTGGAACCAATTGGTGGAAGTTGGACGGCGCCTCTCGCGGCATACGAGTTGTTCTCGGCACTCTGTGTTGTTTGAGTGGTGGACGCAGCGCGTGCTCGTTCCTCGGCGGCCTTGCGTTGCGCCTCCTCCTCCTTCTTGCGCGCCTTCCACTCCTTGCGAATCTCCTTGAACTCTAGAAAGTGAAACCCAATGTTAGCGACAAACCCCCCGCGATGAAGGCTCAAAGGCCATGATAGAAGTAAAGATCCCATGCGAACCTTCAGGAGTCCGCTTCGTTCCATGCGACTGCATGGTGACGTGCGCATTCAGATGGTTGAGTGTACCATAAGCCTTCTCGCAGCCATTCCATCCGCACTTGTACATGCGCTCGATTTCCTCGAAGCGCCTGCGTGGTCGCTTATGCTGGGTGGAGCCGGGGATAGGAACAAACGAATAAACCTGCTTTAACATGTTGATTAGACCCAATTGGTCACTTAAATAAATCTCTAAAGTTCGTACCTGATTCTGCCGAGTTTGAGCAGGAGCCGGGGAATGTGTAGGGGGGAAGACGGCATGGCCCTGCATGGGGCCGTTTTGCTGATATGTCGCCCAGTCGGGACGGGGTTGGGCATAGAGTCCTGCGCTAGGAGCGCTGTGCTGGTATGGGCTAGTCACGTCGGGAGGAGGAGGCGCGTAGGAGGAATAGGCCGGGTGTGGGTAGGCGTGCCCAGGACCCGACATGTTGGATGAAGGGACCCCATTGCTGGGATGGCTCTGGGAGGAGCGATATCCCATCATCGTGTCTGGGAAACTGGTACTTCCACGGTGACCCGAGTAGCCGTATTCAGAGGCGGGGGTTCCAGACGGGGCCGGGTAGGGTTGGCCGGGGGCAGGGGCGGCTGGGTAGACGGGAGGGCGTCCTTCCTGCTGTGTTGTGTAAGGCACAGGGCCAGGTGCTTGCTCTGTAACAGATGAAGCGTTAGTAAGACGAGGGTTGTTGCTAGGACTAGCTAAGGTAAGAACAAACCTGAATGAGAGTACTCGGGGGGAGTACGGTCCGTGTTATTTGTCGTGCTGTTGGTATGGTGTGACATGTTGGGTAGACTTGGCTCGGGATGGAGGTTCCCACGTCTCAAACTTATAATAAACGCCGGACAGCTATAGCGCGAGACTAACGATACGGGGCAAGGACGGCTAAGAAGAGCGGATAACTAGGCCGGACCACACCACCAAAGAGAAGCCGGACACTAGCAAGGGTGCTGGTGGAATAAGCAGTCTGGGCCGAGTCGAAAAAAAGAGACGGCGGGCGATCTAAGAGATGCAGGTCGTGGGTATATCTCACTGGACAAGAGAGAGAGGCGGCGGATTGTTGCGTAACTGGAAAGGGTCGCAGGCGCTGTCTGTCGGTTTGGCCTGACTATAACTAACGGAAGCCGTTCCTGACGCGATGTATGACGTGCGTCTAGACGGTGCAATGATGGGTCGAGATCAAGCCTCGGACGGTCGGTGGACTTCGTAGGCGATGGGGGAAGGAGAGAAACGGTCCTAAAACTGAGGGCGCGACACCACTACCCGAAAAGTTGGGGTTTACACGTGCAGAACGGGCGCAAAGTGGTTTTTATATCGGACCATGGGCCACCTCCTTCGCAGAGGAAAAGTCGAAGGGGTCACGGTTGATGCCGTATGGCAAAAGATGCCCGTAGGGGTGGCCAGGATTCGTCCGTTCTCGCATCCACCCTTCACTCCCAGGACTCCCCAGAGGAATTGGGAACCTTGGGACCCCGTTGAGAGACCCAGTGAAAGGGCCGGGCCCCCTGGTAGGTAAGTACCCTGGTCCGTGGTCACAATCGCCTTTTGTAAAATACTGCAACTGCAGTGAAGAGCCTGCCCTCGCCTGCAGGAGCCTTTCTGTCGAGCTACTGTAGGTACCCAAGTACTTCCCTGGTGTCAACTGGTATCCACCCACGTCTGCCGCGGTATTGGCGCGTATTGAGGGTTCTCATTCACCACTCTGCCGTAAGATACGTAGGTACCGGTAATTCATACAGCCCCAAACGCAACGTTGGTCTGGCACAGTCTCGTCGATCTGATTGCGCACAGTCGGGCGGGTGGTGGTGGAGGTGGTGCAGTGCTGGCCCGCTTAGCCCGCCCAACCTGAGCCGCCCAACGACAACAGGTCAAGAATCCCAATTGAGCGGTCGCGATTGATCGCCTTGACCCATATGCTTGAATCCAAACTCAACACCAGAAAAGAAGACCGTATGAAAGCCCATGTGCTGAATTGCTCCGATATTGACGAAAAGAAGACGGGAAACCAGCGATGACCATGTCTATCGTTACTAGGGATCGATTATTTCCGTCACTGATACATTTTTTCATTACGCGGAAAATTTCTAGTATGACTGACGGTCAGCGGCCCGTGCACCTTATCAGCTTATCGAACCTTACACACTGTAAATCTGTTAGATTTGGTTAATCTTTTGCCCATTTCTACTGCAAATTACCCTCTTTTTAAATATTGATTCGATATTTACATTGCTAGCAACGATGCCCTCTGTCTGCCTTGTACAAAATTAGTATGTATTCGATGAATATAACCTCGTCGAGAACCCTGGTTACCACTACCGATTCGCTAGGTGTAAATATTGTTAATAGCAGTAAGTAAAGAATATTACTCGCATGCGTACATACCTTACCAAGTATTAAAATTTTATTTAGTATAGGATTGTACTCTAAATTGAGAATTGTAAGGATATTCGAACATACGTAGTACGTATCGATATACGTTAGAAGGTATACTACCCAGTTACTACTATATCTTTAACGCTGTAGAGTATATACTAACTAGTATTATTCCTATAGGAGAAGATCGATTAATATATTATTAAAGTAGTCCTCTTCGAAGGCAAACTATTCTTTTTATTCGACGGCGCTCTTTTAAAGGCACTTCTTTATACGTTCGTACTTACCTATATTGCATTAAATATATATAGTATTTCTAATGTGTGGTTACTCTGTATTTACTCGTAGATGAAGAAGCAATTTATCGACGAATATATTAAGAAGAATTTATATATTAATATTTTCGTTAATAAATTAGAAGATTATACCGGCCGTTATATTATTAATATTTCTTTTGTTATTTATAACGGGCCTACTTTCTATTAGATTAACGTGTATTTTAGTTGTATTGAATATATTTCTACTAATTTAGTTGCTATTGTCGCTCGGGTAGTTATTTTACTCGTTAATAGGAGGACGGCTAAAATAAATAGTTTCGTTACCGATACGTATAACGTTATACGGAAAGTTATATAAAACTTTACGTTTAATAACCGATTTAATTATTTATTTACTGTATTATACAGTTTATATTCCCTTTAATTATTAATAAAAAAGTCTATTGAATATTCTAGTATTTAAAATAGTAGCTTACGTAGTCAACTAGCTTATTATATTCTTTCGTATCTCTAAACTCTAATTTTCTCGCTTGCGCGCGTATATAATTTTATATAATAATAAGATTGTATCGATTTTGGCCTCGTAAATTTAAATCCCTTTATTATTTTATTTATATAGTACGTTAATTAAATTAGTATGATTATTCGATAGGGATTATAGTATAAATTAATTAAATCGATTTAACGAATAAAGGTAGTATTGTAAGGCTTTACTTATTTAATATTATTTAATGGCTAGTACTTTAATGATCCCTACGCTAATAGTAACGAAGGTGTTCCCGCCGTACGATTTTAATAAATATTAAGCATTATTAAAGACGGTAATTTCTAGTTTAATTTCAATAAATTAGAGATTTTCTTGGCGCTACTTTACGAAGTTTAGTTGAAGTTTAAGGTAGATAGAATATACGTCGGCTATACTATTACTAGATAGTTCGAAGTTTAGTAAGTTTAATTACTTCTTTAATACTCTATTTTCGCTGATAATTGGTAGGAGTTAGAGCGTGCGTATATCGTTAGACGAGTTAAATAATTGATACTGATTAATTAGTTTGGGTATTTCTTATTACTAATTACTATTATATAGGTACTTGATACCGTTATCCGCCCTATTCCTAATATATAGTATTATGCTATCAAATACTTACGTAAATTTATAGGATGGTTGAGTAAGATAAATTAGGAGGTAATTGAAGATTTTTTGAACTTTTATACTTGTAAAGGACTATATATTTTGTACGCCGCCGTTTGGAATATAAATCTCTATTTTTAAGTAGTTCTAGGAGTATATATAAAATATAATATTAGTTAGATCGATTATTATACCCCTTGCTGTATGTATTTTTAATCCCTAGTTAATAGCGTACTTTATGAGAGAGTTTTCTTTGTAATGAATTATTTTGAGAGTTTAGCGCGTAATAGGATAGGCGCTAAGAAGATAGATATAGTAACGTTTATTTATATGAATAGTAGATAGCTTTATAAATTAGATCAAAGTTGGGTATAATTAATTTATGATGAAAGAGACGTGTTGTTATTGGAGATAGAGGAGTGTTTGTATATTAATATATAGTACGAGCATTAGAGATAATGAGAGGTTGAAGACGAGGGTATTTAGTAGAGTAAATTGAATATATTATAAAAGGTAGTAAATTATTCAATTCTTAGTAAATTTGGTGGAGTTACGTAAAATTTCGATAAATTTCAATAAAAAGGGTGTATTTGGCGGCTATAAAATCCCTGATTTCAGTATATTACCCTTAAGTAAGTTACGTGCGGTTAGAATGGTTGTTACTAATCCTATTTTTTCATTGCACTGACAGTTATTACCATACCTGACCAGTGACAAGTCTGACGAGTCGATCCCTAATCGTTACTCGCAGTGAATGAGCTTCCCCACGCCGGTGCCGGCTGCGTTCTGACTCGTGCTCCAGCAACTGAAGTTGGACTGCAGGTTCACAGGGGGAAGTGAATAGAACACTGTGCAGTGTCTGCTTTGTCTGACAAGTTATGGCAATCCGGTGCGGGCGTGACGGTAATCCATTGTAACGTCCGGAAACAAACCTGTATTTTTGCTGCCCATGTTTTCCTCCACTTGGTCGTCGATGTCGTCCCAATTGCCGATATCTGGAGGCGCACGTATCCTTCACTTCAAAAAGGCTTCGAGTGACTGCCTCCTGTTATATATCTGGCACTTCACATTGGTGTCAATGTTCCATTTCTCACCATTCACCATGTCGTCAACATTTTGAACAGGGTTTGATACCCAAGCCAGCGAAGGTACCTCCAAGGTTGTCAACAAAGACCTCGAAGCGGGCAGGCGGGGTACGTACTAGCGATGCCTTCCCTGCTCGCCGACCTTGCCCAACTTCCATAGGGGACTGGACCAAAAGTTTGAAGCTCTCATGCTCATTACTACTGCCCTTCTCACCGCGATTAATGAAGCAGTTCGAGGGGACGACCATGAAGCATTTCGTGAACATACTGGCGCTAGGGAAGGCACGTAGCCGCTCTGCTTGATGCGCGCGGATCAGATCAATGCAAGTCCACATGCGGTCTTTTCAATCAGCATATGGCAAAATGGAAGCTTCAAATTGGAGCGGCAGATCGCGTTCCTCTCCGCTCTTACTCTGCTACACCATCATCGTCACCAACAATCACGCTCGAATGAAACCGCGCGGACGTGTATGGAGACGTATACTCTATCATCTCAACTACCACGACTTCTTTATTATCGTCGCGTAGAAGCAACAAGCCCATCAACTCGGAACATCATTTTTTATGTTGCCGGCCAGATAGGCCGTGAAGAAGACAGAAAGCAAACCGCCGGCAAAATAACGAGGAACCCAGCGCGGGGGTTCTGTTCGCAGAGGGGGTGAGGACAAGCGGAGGAGCGGAGTCACGGCGATGACCCCGGTCAATGGATGATGCCCAATGGGCCGCGGCTAGCCCCAGCAGCAGATCGCTTCGAGACCTGCCCGTATGGTCTGACCAGAGGAGAGGCCAAGAACATTGCTGCAGTTTCAAATGGAGGCAGACCGCAAACAAAACGAACAAGAGACAGGGCTCTGCCTCGAGACAAAGACAACTTTGATTGCCCGGCGTTGGACCTGAGGCAACGAGGAGTCTGAGACATCAGACAGCTCTGGAATCAATCTTTGGACGGCACAACATGGACCAGAGTTGCCAGTGTCGCCCACACCAACTTCGTGCTGGCCATGATTCAAAGTTTAGGGCCTCAACGCTGACATGCTGGATGTGCTTTCACTATTGCTTCTTCATCTTTCTGCTTCTTCCCTGGTGCCGCGTGGACACTCGGCCCTGTCAACCCAACCGCCAGCCCAGCCCTGCGGACGGCAAGTTTGGGGAATTCAATGTCC